GACCCAAATCCCCATTCCTCTTTTTAAATCGATTCCTGCCCTCAGCCCTGATGGCCACTAACAGACAGCTATTTCCCAATGGATGAGAGTGACTCCTTCATCTTCCTGGTCATGGTTGGGATGAGGTTCATGTGGTCATCCACACACTTGGTCATGCAGGTCTCCAGCTGCTGCTTCACGTGAAGCTCCTTACTCCCTGCATCTATTGAATCTTCACAATACATAGTGCACCGGACCAGGCGGTCCTGGAACTTCTCCAACTCGCTGGTCACCAGGGCCTGGGCTTGAGCTAGAGGTGCATGGCAGCACTCAATGCACTGGCGCACTTGCTGCATGGACGCCTGGCTTTCCTCACAACAGGCGGTGCTGCACTGGAACATAGGCCCTGCATCTTCTGGATATTCTCCCTCTTCAGACTCTTCACCATGGAGTCCACCGCTTCCTGCACCCAGAGCTGCTGCAGCTCCGCCATGGCAACCCGTGCGGTTCCCGGCTGTGCCTGCGCCCACATGGACTCCCGCACACAGGCCCCTAAACTGGACTTATAAGGCACCCTGTTTCTATCATTGCTCTGTGCACTATGTGTAGTAGGTGCTGATGCCCCTCACAGGAGGTGAACACAGTTGTCAAGTGGTTTCCAAATTTTGTGGAACGTTCTTACTTTTCAAAAAGAAAATCTGGTGTGAGCCAGAAGGAGACACTGAAGTGCAATCAACAGATGGGGAAGAGCTTTTACTAGAGCAGGGCCAGCAGTAAAGGAAGTTCACCTAATACAAGGCCCGGGGAAATGAATGTGACCTGTTGCCACCGCAAGGACTGAACCATGTGGTTCCTGATGCAGAGGCTGCTGACGCCCAGATTTCTGTATCTTGGTTTCCTGTGTGATGAGACACATGTGTGTCCTAACAGACGCTATCGATGTCGGACATTTAACTGCATGACTTCTTGCCAGTTCTGACAGGATATTTTTGTGATTGTTTAGTTACTAAGTCATGGACCTTATGGACTGTAGCCCGCCAGGTTCCTCTGTCCATGGGATTTCCCAGACAAGAATATTGGAGTGGATTACCATTTCTTCTTCCAGGGCATATTCCCAACTCAGGGATTGATCCCACTTCTCCTCCATTGCAGGCAGACTCTCTATCACTGAGAAACTGGGGAAGCCCCCATACCAAACTCTTAATTCCAAATCCCAGTATGTATATTGTTTTGCTTTTGTTTTGTAACAGAAGCAACACATCACTGATTCATTTCCAGAGTTTTATCTACTATGATCTTTTAACCTCTGAGTGATAAAGTGCTTCATCCTCAGACACTACTCATGTTATAGTTTTGGAGCTGCCTTTGCTTTTTAGCATCCCTATCAGCACTAATTGCTGATGAAGTTTCATCAGTTTACAGTAAGTTGGCAAGTTTTCAGCACATGAAAAATGTATTTTCAGCATATTTTGAAAAATAAGCAAGATGAGACAGGCAGCATCCATAGGACTGTCTTCCTTCTGAATGTCCATCTCTGCCAAGGAAGAAGGGGGAAACAGAACAAGAGGACTTAAAAAAAATTTTTAAGCCATCTTTTCCTTTTAATTGAAGTTTATAAAGAGGAAAACATAGCGGTTCCCTCCTACTTAGTCTCAGGTTAACTCTGTGAGTTTGGATTCATATATCCAGTTAGGCATCATTTACAAATTAATAACTAGGGTTTTTGGTTCACTTAAAAACTGACTTCATTGATTTAGTGATACCTCTTGATGAGGGTGAAGGAGGTGAGTGAAAAAGCCAGAGTAAACTCAACATCAAGAAAACTAAGATCATGGCATCCAATCCTGTCATTTCATGGCAAATAGACAGGGAAAAGATAGAAGCAGTGACAGATTTCCTCTTCTTGGACTCTAAAGTCAGTGTAGATGGTGACTATAGCCTTGAAATTAAAAGTAGATTGCTTCTTGACAGGAAAGCTATGACAAATCTAGACAGTGTGTTAAAAGGCAAAAATATCACTTTGCTGACAAAGGTCTGTATAATCAAACCTATGGTCTTTCCAGTAGTTATGTACAGATGCAAGAGCTGGACAACAATAGAACGCTGAAAAATCGATGCTTTTGAACTGTGGTACTGGAGAACACTATTGACAGTCCCTTGGAAAAGGAGATCAAATTAATCAATCTTAAAGGAAATCAACCTTGAATATTCTTTGGAAGGACTGATGCTGAAGCTGAAGCTTCAATACTTTGGCCACCTGATACAAACAGTTGACTCAGTGGAAAAGACCCTGATGCTGTGAAAGACTGAAGGCAGAAGGAGAACAGGGAGATAGAGGATGAGAAGGTTGGATGGCATCATCAATTTAATGGATATGAACCTGGGCAAACTCCAGGAGATGGTGAGGGACAGGGAAGCCTGGCATGCTGTAGTCCATGCGGTCACAGTCAGATGTGACTTAGCAACTGAACAACAATAACTTAGAGTGATAAATCACCCCTTTATTCAGATTCTCTTGGAATTATTTCTTTATCACATTTGTATATTTTTCAATGAAAGATTTGGTAAGTTTTCTTTAAAACAATCATATGGAATCAATTCCTAGAGAAACATAATGATAGGATTTCTTTAAGTGATATAACCAAAGTTAACAGGGTTAATTCCAGAAGCAATACATGGAAACAATGTACTTCACTTCATGAAATAAGCTCACTTTTCTTTATTTTTATAGAAAGTCCCAAATGTAGTTTAAATAGAAGTAGATCTTAGTTTTGTCTACCACTTCAGCATTTTTATAATTTAGATTAACATTGCCTCTCTGCCCATGAAACAATATGTTCTAAAATTCTACAGTAATGCTACCTGAGACTCTGTGAAAAAAAATCTCAATCTGGGAAACAAATAAAAAAATAATTTACCAGTACTTCCAGTCATTTTTTTTAAGATGTGTCCCAATTTCACCATTAAATTTGTCGTATGAATTCAAGAGTAGTGGATCATCCTATTGTTCTTTACATTTAATGGGTAACAGATTTACACACCTCTTCTCTTGTAGAACTTTACAGTAAAAGGCTCACAAACTTAAATGAAATCAGAGGTGCACTGCTTTTCAGGGAGGAGAAGGCAAAGCAATCGACCCAATTTAAGAAAACAAAATCCACATGCTGCTGAAAAGCAGGGTGGGTGTATAAAGACTCAGTGGTGACATCCTTCAGAAACCAGAATTACTGGTTGGAAATGGTCATACCTCCAAATCTGCCTGCTCACAGTGAAGGCTCATCTGTATATTACAGATTTCAGAGCTTCCCTGAAAGGGTAACACTAAATGACAAACACACCAATTCAAAACAACATGAACAATCAGTCTCTCAGATTTGTGTAATAAACAAACAAAAAGAATAAAGAAATATGCAAACGTCTCTGAAATGAAAAGATCAATCAAACATTTAGTAGTTATTTGTGTAGAGTATTTTCTCTGTGTTTTTCTCCAAGAGTTTTATAGTATCTGGTCTTAGATTTAGGTTTTTAATCCATTTTGATTTTATTTTTGTATGTGGTATCAGGGAGTGTTCTAATTTTACTCTTACATATAGCTGTCCAGTTTTCCCAGCACCACTTACTGAAGAGACTGCCTTTTCTCCATTGTATATTCTCGCCTCCTTTGTCACAGATTAGGTGACCACAGGTGTGTGAGTTCATCTCTGGGCTCTCTGTCCTGTTCTATATTTCTGTATATGTGCCAGTGCCATACCATCTTGATTACTCTATCTCTGTATTGAACTGGCCAAAAAGTTCATTTAACTTTTTCCATAAAATCTTATGTAACAAACTTTTTGGCCAACTCAATAATATATTCTGAAATCAGGGAATCTAATTTCTCCAGCTTTGGTTTTCTTTCTTAAGACTGCTTTGGCTACTTGGAGTCTTTTGTTTCCATTAAAACTGTAAAATTTTTGGCTCTAATTCTATGAAAAATGCCATTGGTAATTTGACAGGGATTGTATTGAATCTGTAGATTCTTTGGGTAGTATAGTCATTTTCACAACAATGATTCTTCCAATCCAAGAACATGGTATATCCCTCCATCTGTTCTGCATCATTTTTTATTTCTTTTGTCAGTAACTTGTAGTTTTATGAGATAGTTTTGTCTCCTTCAGTTCAGTTCAGTCCAGTCCAGTCACTCAGTTGTGTCCGACTCTTTGCGACCCCATGAGCTGCAGCACAACAGGCCTCCCTGCCCAACACCAACTCCCAGAGCCCATCCAAACTCATGTCCATGAGTCGGTGATGCCATCCAACCATCTCATCCTCTGTCGTCCCCTTCTTTTCCTGCCCTCAATCTTTCCTAGCATCAGGGTCTTTTCAAATGAGTCAGCTCTTCGCATCAGGTGGCCAAAGTATTGGAGTTTCAGCTTCAACATCAGACCTTCCAATGAACACCCAGGACTGATCTCCTTTAGGATGGACTGGTTGGATCTTCTTGCAGTCCAAGGGACACTCAAGAGTCTTCTCCAACACCACAGTTCAGAAGCATCAATTCTTCGGCGCTCAGCTTTCTTTATAGTCCAATTCTCACATCCATATATGACTGCTGGAAAAACAATAGCCTTGACTAGACAGACCTTTCTTGGCAAAGTAATGTCTCTGCTTTTTTATATGCTGTCTAGGTTGGTCATAATTGTAATGTGTAATGGAGTAATTTTAATTCACTAAGTCAGTAGTAGAATTTAATCCCACAGTTTTTACATCCAATTGAGTACTCTGCTAAGGACTAGATAATGTAGTTATTTGTTCAGGGCTCCAGGGAAAAAGCTAAAATGAAAACATGTTGCATTATATTGTTGATCTTCATCATCATCAACACACACATTTTAAGTGCATGCATGTCATCAGTGTTTTTCTAGGAGATAAATGAGGTCAGTGAAACTGATACACTCCCCTTAATTATTTGCAATGCTCTAACTGAAAACACACAGATACTGATGCTAACAAGTTAATTACAGTTACTATAAATAAATTACCTCTTCTAAGGCATTCCACAGTTCCTCATCTGTATGCTCATTAAAGGGATCCAGACTTTTCCTCATTGTTCCAGTGAATAAAACAGGTTCCTAAATACTCCAAAATAGCGAAATGTTATTATTGTAACCTCTTTTCATTTTATTCTAATGTGTACAGAATATCAAAATTAAAATACAAAACGTCTAAATTCATTAATTATTAATAGTAAAGTTGCAAATGTATGTTTACAAAACAGTATCTCTAAAATAATTTTCCATTGTACAAAGTGTGCTACAAAATGTCTTCCAGACTACTGAACACTAACAGAAGAAAGTGCTGAAGTTTTTTCATCTTAAGAAAAAAGATGAAAACAAAAAAAGATTTGATTTTTTTTTTAAATGCCATCCCAGTAATAAGTATCTGCTTAAACACACACACAAACTAAGGAAATAATTACATGAGAAACTTAACATCAAGATCTATATAAATTAACTGTCAATCCTGGTGTGACTGGGAAATACCAACAGCATGATTAGTAAAGGTTTGTGCCTCAAAGAAAACCATTAAATATTTACACATTGGCACTGAAGAATGAACTAGGCTATTTCCTCCATTGGTCAGACTGTCTTCTAGGATCTAGAATCTCTCCACATGTGTGAATGGAACATCCCCACACATCCAAGGGGAACATCCGCTTCTGGAGCCACAGGCCTGCAGTTCCTCTGTCCATTGAGAGATCACCTCTGATTCTGCACCAGGTGATCCCCACGTTCTCTCATCTGTAAGGCAGGATCACCTGCCTCACAGAACCTTATTATTAACTGCAAGGTCAGGATGACCTGAAACCCACTGTGACATGAACCATAATGAAATTATTTAACTAGCTTTTCCTGTTTTACTTCTGGAGGAGCCACAAATAAATTACTGGAAATATAAGCCTCCTTATGAGTTTCAAGAAAGAATCTTCTACATAAGCTAATGTAAAGCCATTTACATTTTCTTCTGGAAGGTTCTAGTAAGCCATGTCACAAGAATATGAGCAGCAGTGAAGAGGCAAATTGGCTCCTTTCAGTGAAGAGGGTAAAACAAGGGGACGCACACATGCGGGAACAAGAGGAGATCTGACTCTTCCACAAATGCCTGGAACTGCTCAGAATCACCACGTTCAAATCCTGCCTGGACTTGGGGCTGGACTTTCCTCCTCACTTCACAAAAGCCTGAGAAGAACGATGAAGACAGACAGACATTTCTTTTCCTAACCATGAGTAAGAATGATACTCAGGGAGCCTGACAAACCTTCCTTCAATATTGTCTCAGTTTTAAGTCTGGTCAGAGAGAAATGAGTGCAGAAGACTCAGGGTCTGCCACCAAAAAAGATGTATCCCTGAGAAAAATACACAATTAAAAAAACATTATAAAGGGAAATTTATTCACACAAAGTTGATTAAGTGGCCAATATGCCTCCAAAGCACTGAAAATCACTGGTCATAGGATATTTCAGAATGAGTTCTGAACTGAACTGAAAAATCCCAAGACCAAATTTAAAGTCTCCCTTAAAACTCTAGAATTTAGGATCAAAGACTAAACAACCATCTAAACAATGGTAAGCATTTCTTGTCAGGGGGATAACCATCATTCTACTTCAGATTTTTATAAAAACTTGTTGAAAGAAAGTGAAAGTGAAGTCACTTTGCAACCCCACGGAGTGTAGCCTACCAGGCTCCTCCATCCATGGGATGTTCCAGGCAATAGTACTGGAGTGGGTTGCCATTTCCTTCTCCAGGGGATCTTCCTGACTCAGGGATCAAACCAGGGTCTCCTGAATTGTAGACAGACGCTTTACTGTCTGAGTCACCAGGGAAGACTAAAAAAACTTGCTACTCTTTGTAATTATAAACCCTAAGATTCCCACATGCAGGTCATTGCTCATCCTTCAGCTGTCTCTATCAGGTTTACACAAAAGACGTGGCCAGGCAAGGGGAGGCTGGTCCCCACATTCCTCCTCCTTCTCTTCTCCATCTTCCCTCCATTTTCTAGATCCATTCAAGTAAGCAGGCTACTTCCTGAATATAATCTCCATCAATGTTCTTTCTGGGGGACATATTTAACTACTTCAGATCCTGAGCACAAAGAATACACATACTTCAGCTTCCTGTTGTGTTTAAGGAAATTATTTAAGAAGAAATTTCATTTTTGCTTTTTCCTGAAATTTTGAACAGAAATTGAGGAGTACCTTCTTAAGAAGTATTCATCTTTGAAAGTACCCCCCCAGGACTGATGGTCTACATCTCCACTCCCCTGTCTCTGGTTTCTACCCAAGTCCTTGCTGTTATCACATCTCCCCCAGTTCTGAGAGAGTGAGAGAGCGAGAGAACATCCTGGAAGGTCATCACTGCTTCTGGGATCACACAGAGCAGGGATTCAGGGAAGATGATGTGGGCCTGGCTCAACTAAGTGGGACAACTCAAAGAATCAGCACTGGGCTCCCCCTCTGCAGAATCTGTTCTCAGCTTCCTGCTGCTGCTGCTAAGTCACTTCAGTCATGTCCGACTCTGTGCGACCCCACAGACGGCAGCCCACCAGGCTTCCTGGTCCCTGGGATTCTCCAGGCAAGAACACTGGAGTGGGTTGCCATTTCCTTCTCCAATGCATGAAAGTGAAAAGTGAAAGTGAAGTCGCTCAGTCGTGTCTGACTCTTAGCGACCCCATGGACCGCAGCCTACCAGGCTCTTCCATCCATGGGATTTTCCAGGCAAGGGTACTGAAGTGGGGTGCCATTGCCTTCTAAGTCTCAGCTTCCTAGGTTTCCTAAATCAGGGTATTGAGACACAAGTATCATTGCTTCCTACTTGTTTGGTGGAGGAAGAGATACGTAAGTTTTCTGTACTTAAACAAGTAACTTCAAGTAATCACAGTTACAGACTTTCTCCACCTCTAAGCCAGCAAGACATTGTAAAGAGAAGGGGCTCTTGGCTGGGGAGAGATAAAATTTTGAGTATTTTCTCCTCTCACTTCTTAGACTATAACATATAAGTGAATAACACATTTCTAAATTGATACTGTCCAAATGAAGGGCAGGGCAAGGCAGTAGGAGTAGTATCTTACAGCTTTGCTCCATGATTATTCACTCTTGTTATACTTTGGGCAATTCTTTTGAGTGGGATGGTAGGAAAAAATGGGGAAAATATCTCATGAGTACAACACTGCCAAAGAATTGATGCTTTCAAATTGTGGTGCTGGAGAAGACTCTTAAGAGTCCCTTGTACAGCAAGGAGATCAAACCAGTCAATCCTAAAGAAAATCAACCCTGAATATTCACTGGAAGAACTGATGCTGAAGCTGAAGCTCCAATACTTTGGCCAACTGATGGGAAGAGCTGACATATTGGAAAAGACCCTGATACTAGGAAAGATTGAGGACAGGAGGAGAAATGGGGGTGATAGAGGATGAGATGGTTGGATGGTATCACTGACTCAACGGACATGAGTTTGAGCAGATTCCAGGAAATAGTGAAGGACAAAGAAGCTTGGCGTTCATGGGGTCACAAAGTGTCAGACATGACTTAGCAACTGAATAACAACATTTATTGGGGGAAAAAAAAGTTTGGAATCAGACAGTTCTAAGTTCTCATTCTGCCGGGAGCCATTATGGGAGATCCCACCCATGACAAGGTCATGAGGAGAAGACCTGAAACACAAGGCTGTCAGGCTACAAGGGACCCTCCAGGTTGACCCCGGCCTCTACCCAACCCTGTATCCTCCCCCTCTTGCTGTTGTCCTTGTTCGTCCTGTTGCGGATCTTTGCATTGCCTGCCGAGAGCTCTCCTTCTCCTCTTTCACTAAATAAAGCCCAACATATAACCTTAATTAATAAATCTCCTGGATGCTGGTTCCCTATGAAGGGGCCAGGGATGAAGGAAATGTTCCAAGTAAAAACCCTTTTGCTGGCACTCTGGCTTGTTTGGCAAATGCGTACTAATGCACATGACTGCCCACAACACCTTAATCATAAACAGCATAAAGAACCAGATCACAAAAGGCCCTAATGGGCACAGAGCCCTTCAGGGGGTGAGAAAGCCCTATTAGAGAACACAAAAAATATTATTCTAAAAGTGGTTATTGGATCAATGTTTGATTGCTGTTATTGTGCTGAGGTTGTGCAGTAAAAACTACTGTTAATATAATTAAGGATTTAGAAAAATAAGAGTTTAGCCCTAGTGTGGAAACAATAAGATAATTGTTCATTTTAATCAAGAGTGCTAAAACAGAGGCTGTCTCACCAGAGCCACAGAGTCTTTGTGTGGTAAACTTTTTAGATAAATTTAGCTGAGAACTTTTGCAAAAAGGCTGACCTTTGCCTTAACAGGATTGTCTATGTTGCAACCTCCTGTACCATGAGACTGCAACTTTTCTGTTTTCTGCTAAACTCAAAGCAAAATAGAACAATAAAGAATAGACTACGGAAAACAGTTTTGCCTTCACCTAGGTCATAAAATGTTAATTGGTCCCAAGGCCAGAAGATAAATGTACAAAGATCTACTATGAAAGAAGACTCTCATGAACAAAGAAGTATGCAGAATATACCCTGGTTTCATGAAGGACAAAACTGACGTAATGTTAAACTAAACTTTGTATGCTTATCTTTCACCTCCCCTTAGAAATGTACTACTTAGGGTATAAAAGCTATGGTAAAAAATAAAACGACGCCAGACTCTGCTGCACACCCTGGTCTGGTGTCTCTCTCTCTCTCCCTCTCTCTCTCTCTCTCTCTCACTCACTGACACCGTTCATCTTGAGGGTACCCCTGGATCCTGCTGGGGCCGGACCCCCACATCATTCTATTGCTCATTAGTTATTAGACCCAGGGTAAGTTATTAATCTTCCCAAGACTCAGTTCACTTATTGGAAACTGGAGTTAGCCTTGTGGCTAACCCCTTGTGGGGTTGCCCTGAGAATCTGGAACCACAGTGAAGTTCCTCGTATGATGCTAACATGGACCAGGAGCCCAGCCCAATAGGGGACAATGAAAAGCAGTGTCTGTTAAACTGCAGGTGTAGTCAATGGATCATGAAATCAATTTAGTGCCT